AAATATTTCTTTATATGCTGGGCGTGGTGGTGCACCCCTCTCATCACAGCGCTTGGCAAAGCTGAGGCAGGAAGATTCCAAGTTCAAGCCTAGCCGAGGCAACTTAGCTATCTAGCAAGACTCTGCCTCAAAATTTAAAAAGGGATGGAGATGTAGCTTAGTGTGAAGGTCCTTGATTCAATCCCCAGTACCATCAAATACATACAGATAAGTACATACTTCCTTATATCTATGTAAAGAATCCCAACCCTAAAGACACATACTTAAATTCAGACAAACTGGTGTATCTGGGATGTGCTTCAAAGTAATCCAAGACTAAAAGAGAGCATGAGAATGCGGACAGAACAAGACTGACCATGAGGTGGTAGCTGCTGATTAAGGAGACTGTAAGTATGTAAGGAGGAAAGAGGGTTCTTTAAACTAAGAACACTGTTGCTGCATGTTTTTGAAATTTTCTAGAGCAAAGTTTGCTCCTTAAGCACAAGCAAGCAAAAAAGAGTACCTGGGCCTACCTACCTCTCACAGGATTAGGTTACTCTGAACAAATGAGAAATGTTATACTTAGATGATTACTAAGCTTTTCCTCTGTAATAAGATAGCTAACAGGTGAATAGTGCTTTATCTGCCATTTAATTTTCTTAAAAGAACAGAATGAACTGAAGGAGAAAATCTGGATTCTGACGGTAATGTGAATGGTATACTTTTTTTTAACTCTATAGTGATTCCATACATGTCATCACTCAAATGAAATTCCATCGAATAGACAAACACCTTTGGAAAAATGATAACAAAGCTGACTGGTTATTAACAAGAAAAGATATTCTAGATGGTTTTTGGTTTTGGTTTTTTTCCAGTACCAGGAATCGAACTCACGACCTTACACTTGCCAGGCAGGCGCTGTGCCACTGAGTTAAATCCCCAGCCCCAATTCTAGATGTTCTACATACAAAAGGTTATACTAAATGGGAGGGACTATATGAGCTCCTTTTAATGAAATTTAAACACATATAATTTTCATATATGTCTATGTAGAAGGAAAAGCCTGGAACCTGACCGAATCTGAGATTGAGGGAGCTGTTTTTATTTTGTTGCTTGTCCTTACTTCTAATATATTACTATTATGAATACGTCTATCTTATGTAACAAGAAGCTTTGAACTTTCAGGTTTGTATATAAATTCTCACCTGAGTACTCCCTTAACTTCCTCACCCTGTTTTCTTGTTGTTCATTTTTTAACTGAGGTAATATGTATATAACATGAAATTTATCACTTGTATTAAAATTCTGCAGCACATTCATATTATTGTATGACTATCACCATCATTCGTTTCCAGAACTTTTTCATTTTTCCAAACTGATACACTGTACCCATGAAATAAACTCCTCCCTGTGTTTACCCCAGGAGTTACCATTTACATTCTAGTTTTATGAATTTGACTACTCTAGGTACCTCACATAAGCAGAATGGTATGTTTTGTGTTCTTTTGTGTCTGATTTGTCTCACTTGGCATAATGTCTCAAAAATTCATCTAAGTTGTAGCATGTGTCAGAATTCCCTCTTTAAGGCCGAATAATATTTAGGTGCACGTAGATACGTTTGATTTATCCATTTATTCCTGAATAGACACTTGAATTGTTTCCACACTTTGAATAAAACTCCTGTGAACGTGGGTATCCTAAGTTCCTGCTTTCAATTTCTTTAAGGATATGTCTACAAGTGGAAGTGCCAGATCGTATGGAAATTCTATGTTTAATTTTTTGAGAACCACTACCCTGTTTTCCATAGCAGCTACACCATTCTGTACTCCCAACGGTGCATAAGTATTTCAATTTCTCTACATCTTTGCCAAGACTTTCTACTTTTGCTCCCTCTTATACTCCTTTATTCTTCCTCCACAACACTACCAGTCATACAACAATACTTACTTGCTTATTTACATTGACTTCTAGGATTTAAGTCCCTCAGCAACAGGACTGTTGGCTTACTGCTGTATTCCAAGCACCTAGAACACACTCAGCACGTAGCAAGTGCTCAAGAAACTTGCTGAACTGCTGGGCACCAGAGCACACACCTATAATCCCAGCACTCAGGAGGCTGCGCCAAGAGGTTTGCTGTGAGTTTAAGGCTAGCTTGGGC